TTCCTGGTTCCTGCGCCTTTGCAGCCCACGTCCCCCTGCTCGCGAGTCCCCCGGGCCTGAGGACTGGCCGGGGTGGCCGCGGCAAGCTGGCACAGACCCTGCTGTGACCATGGTGCTGAGCGATTTTCTTCCTCACTGCACTGGGCGTGCCAGGGAGAGGGACCAGGCCCAGGATGCTGTGCTGGGGGTGAGACGTAGGCTGGGCATGGGTGCACTCATGGGCTCGTCCCATCTACAGTGGGAGGCCTCTGTGTGCCAATGCACGGGGCAGGGGCAGTGCTGGCCCCGAGAGGTCACTGCAGCAGCCAGCCCAGTCACCGTGCAGGCCCCTGGACCGGTGTGTCCATTCAGACTGTGACACAGAATGTCCTGACTAGCAGGTTGAGTTCTTGGTCCCTGGGGCCAGGGGGTGAGACGCAGGCTGGGCATGGGTGCACTCGTGGGCTCGTCCCATCTACAGTGGGAGGCCAGTCCTCGAGCCCACACCTGCTGCCTCCCACGTGTCCTGCCCTTTCCCGTCCCCCAGGACTTCCTGGGCCGCCAGGAGCAGAGCTTTGGTGAGGTCGCAGTCACGTGTCCTGTGCGATTCTGTGAGTACATGTGGCGTGACGGAGCCCTCGCTGATGCAGCTCTGGGTTCTGCAGAAAGGTCCGGATGACAGACCGCCTGCCCTGGACCTGCAGTCGCCTGCAGGGAGACAGGGCCATAAGCCAGGCATTGGGTGTCCCTGTCTCAGCTCAGGCTGTCACAACAGGTCACTGGCGGTGCTGTGCTCCACGCAGGACAGGCGTGCGCAGAGGAGACCATGTGAAGGCCGCTGTACCTGGGGAGGGCGGCTGAAGCATGAGTGACCAGCTGCCTTGTCCCAAGTGCGCTGAGGAGGAGGTGGCTGCAGACACGTGCATGCACACAAAGCCCTGGTAGTGGGGCTGTCTGGCTAGGTGGGCAGGGCCAGAGGAGGGCCCCAGTGGCCAGGTCGAGGGCTCGCTGGTGTGCTTTCCCTGCTGTGCTCCTCTAGAATACAAACAGTCGGGGCTGTGGGTTCTGTACACACTGTGTCCTGGCTTGGACAGACTGTCGAGGATCCCATGGAGCCTGGAGGCAGGGGCCGCTGGCTGGTGCATGCCATTGGCAGCTGGCTTCTTCCACCTGGGCAGTGTGCTGAGCTGCCTCCACGTCTACCCTCCGCCTCCCCGCTCCCGACTCCTGTCCTGCCTTCTATTGCTTTGAAGCTCCATCCCTTTCAGGGCCCACCCCGGCATGCAGTGACCAGGTGGCTTCATAATGTCCACCTCCAATGAGGGAGTCTGAGCCGTGGCGGCCGCCCTCCCCGCCCTAGCCAG